GAACAATGCATTTAGTGCTATTTTTATTTAAATAATATTTTTTAAATAATATAATAAGTACGAACTTTTCATTATATCTGACACACAACATTTAGTGACTTAATATAAAGTAGCAGGAAAAAGTACAGAAAACGAAAAGTGAATTTTATATTTAAGATTAATTTTCTCTCTAAGAATATATTGGGACGCAAACGCAGGGGAAAAGCAAGGTCACAATTTAATTAAGCACCACTTGGTATGCCATATAATTGAAAACTCTTAACTGTAATTGTAATTTCGCAGATTGCTCTTACTATTTTGTCAGCAAACGAATGCGATTATCGCCTCAATGTTTTCCCATTTCACGAATATTTTTCCAATAAATGTCGAAGATTTAGTACATGCCGCTATTTATTTGACAAGTGTCGCTATATATCCTTTGGCAGATTATCTTTATGGATCCTTTATATCTTGTATTTATTGTTATCGTTAGTACGTATCCTTATTAGATATAGTAAGAGATATCTATACTTGACAGCTATATGTGTGTATAACATTATAGGTCTTGTATATTATATCACATAGCAAAATTGTTATCTTAATGGGTCGAAGAAGCATTATATCGCGGTCACGTAATGCACTTCCTTTATAATTGTTCTTAGTCACCACTATCTTCCGACATATTACACAATTATCGACGTCATCAACCTAGAATATACCGGACAAGAGACTATGACATAAGGATTGTGCCATTAATATCACAAAGGAGTCCCATTATTATATATGCGACCTTTCTAAGCTCAAGCACGAGAATTATATAAAGCGGCCAGACAGCATTTATACCGTTAAAGCTACGGATATATAATGATTACATTTATATTTCTCTTTCTATGATATTATACTTGATGTAATAAAATAATATTTTCAGTTTTTATCAGCATTAAAATTGAATGTTAATAGCAAATCAGACACTAAAATCCGGAATTCCGGCTAAAAACGACTATAGAGTAAAATAAACATAAATGTGTAACACATTTCAATTCTACATTTCAATCTAGCCAATGAGAGAGGTATCGCATAAAGCTCTAGATATATCAAAGTAGTGCAAAGGTCCTCCATTTTTGATAATAACTATTTATTATATACTTGACGCTTATTAGATAGTGGACGTTAGATCGAAAATGGCGGTCGAAATAGCCAATAGAAAAGTTGTTGGCATTTCGGTTTAGACAAAAGGATTGCGCAACTTTAGTATATCTAGAACTTTAGTGCCCCTCCCCCGCAGCGCTATCAGCGTACATAAAAAAAATTTTTTTACGCGAGAAAAATGCATATATGGAATTTAAAACTAAATTTTTGTTATAAAAAATTTTTTTCATAAAACAAATTTAATTTACCATCATTTTATGCATCGAGGCCAGTAAAATACACCAGCAATCGATCGAAGAGTGAAAATACTGGCTAGGCCAGTTCATTATCGGTGAGTTGGCAACTCTAGTCATTGATATCTTATCAAAGCATTGCACGCAAGTCCCACAAGTTACTAAAGTGTGAAGTTAATAAAGTCAAAACGACGAAAATATCAGTTTTTCGCGTGTGGCACTTTGTGACGGTTTTCGGTAAAGTGAGATGTGTAATTCTTATTAATGACAAACTTTTTTGTAACTTTTCGTTGAACGGTGGCGACATCGATGAATTTTCTCGTTGCTACTGAAATTCCATTCTGTTTTATGAAAAAAAAAACGAGATAGATCTTGTTAAACACGTATCGTATATCATCTGCCCCGCAGTTACGGTATTTTGATCACTATGGGTTTCGTTAGTCAACCAGCTCCTGAGGGATTTTTCTTTAAGTGCTATTTGACAACAGTTAGTTTATTTTTCATTGCACGGCCAGCCTCGAAGGCCATTTAAAGTAAAAAAAGAAGTATAAAATGTTTACTTAACACCCGAGATACTGCCGTGTCTTCTGATATATATTTATAATCCAAATTCAAGAAACTCTAAGAGTATATGAAAGGGAATAGACTGATCTTATTCGAAGATAATCTTTTTCTTTCTAAAAATTGAAAGTTTATTAATTCTTTATTACTCTTGGCTGTGTACCAAGACTTCTGCAAGACCAAAATTGCTTAACATTTCAAAACTCTCACGTACAGTGCAATTCGTGGTCCATGTAATGACAAATTATCTCAGCGTGACAAGGTTTATGATATTTGACACTTGTTTAGCAATTCTCGGATACCTCAGTAGGAGTTAATCCTGCTATAATCTAGACTCCTAGACTCCGATACCAATTATCCACTGTACCTGTATCTTGCGAAGCTGGAAGCTGTTATTAAGCTGTTGTATAGTGCATTGTTATACTAAGCCACGTGTATTTTACGCTGATTCGTTCCCTTTAATGGCCTCCTGCTTGCAGCGGATCGAATGGAGATAGGTAGGGATGAAGCTGCGCGAATTGAAGTGCTTCAATCCGTTTGATTAAATCGCCTTTGGTTTGCAAAGGCAATCGAGTTATACAGAGGCAATTTCTACATATTCTGGCCTCTAAAGACGCGCCTTCCTAAATTTTCTCGAATAGCTACGTGCGAATGCTTAAATATCCTTCAAAAGATGACGTTGTTTTATCGCAACGGATATCGCGGAGTACGAAACATAAAAAAAAAATGTGTGTCTCATTTTATAGCTACACGATTTAACTTCCAGTTACGTTTCTATGGCTCGTATAAAGTAGTCCACTACATTTGTTCATGATTCCTCTTGATAGTTTTCTCATCAAAAATCTTAAATCTTTATTACCCGTTATCCCTTAAATTTTCTTTCCTTTCCCTTAAAGAAAAATATCACGTTTTCGCGATATCTAAAAAAATTATCTTGTGTCTTTGTAGAATTATGTCTAAATGGATTATTTATTACTTTTGATTGAGAACATATTACGCAAGTATATTCCGTCAGAAATTTTTAAACGATTTATATGAACATAAAAATTAAAGTTCGAGATTGAATAATGTAATGACTGTTTCGAATAAAATCTCTGCGAATTAAATTAGCGCAGAAATTCGTCATTACAATTTTCTACAAAACTACCTCAAAAATGCTTTAAGTTACGACGAAATCACCTTAATGTTGGTAAATATGGTGAAGTACGTTATGACATTGCTGTTTGAAACGCTGCGACCAAGACCAGCCGACCTTTTCAACGAGTTGAGCTATAAGAAAAGGTGAATCGTTTTCTATTTTATTGAAAGTGTAAATGTCACTGTAACTTGCTGTCGATGCGTTAGGCGATCAAACGGCAATCTATTTACGAGGCGTAGTTTAAACGACAAAGTATATTGCGTCGCGCATCTCTTCAATATGTCATATATGATGTAGCGATGCTTTTCTCGCGGACGTTATTTTATTTTTTATCTTATAAATGATGAGATATATATACCGTTTGTTAATTAATATTCGTTATCCACGTGTTAGCTGCATGACAGGACATAAAATGGGATGTGCAAGCAAAGGGGCATCCGCTTTTTTTAAACTTGATATACACTATGTGATTTTAATTCCAAACTACGGGTTTGAAAGAAAAAAAAAACTGTTATTGCATTATTTTGTTAAAACATACGTGGAAAATATATATACACATATATACATTGCGACTTAGATTTAAGGATGTATTACATGTATTACAAGTATTTTTTTAACAAAATAAAAAACTTATGAAAAAAATTACAAGTTTTTCTATTTTGTATTTAAAAGTAATACAAAAAATTTTACGACGCGATTTAAAACTTGGATCAAAAATTATTTAAATAAGAAGTAGATATGATTAAAAAAATAATTACGACAAAATAAGAAAATTTTTATTCGAACTATAAAATTGTATCATTAAATACAAATTTCAAGTCACTTTTAGGCAGAGATTGTACATATGATACCTTAATCGTGTCACTTACATTTTAAAGGCGATATTACGATTTAGAATATTGAATAACACGATTAAAGATAAATACATGGATTTTACAAATCAGATTTCTTTTGCTTCTCTACAGCACATTGTAACAGTTTTACATCGAACATCGGGAACATCTGACGATGGAACATAGCTAAAGTTACATACGGTGATAGTATAATATAATATTTAACGTCAGATATCTCGTAACATTTTGCTCGGAAAAGCGATTTGCACCGATCGCTACTATCACTACTGTCGTACGCCCATTTCCTTTTCTCATCGGATCGTGATAAATGGCTAAGTCAGAATTCTCTGCAAAGGAGTCTCGTGAGAAATCCACGTATCCTGACGTATTCGGGTTAGAACAGCCAGCGACTAATCAAACGAGCTACTTGCACGTTGATCCGGTACCACGTGATTCTTTATTTTTTTTAGTTTATATATATGTGTAATATTTTTCGCTAACTTCTAACACTTGGTATTAATTCTTAAACGGCACACATTGTATATTCACGTCGTTTCTTAAAACTTTTTAAATGTCTAGATAATTTTTTTAAATGATGCATAAAATGTTTTCTTACGCTAAACTTATGTTTATAATAAAGAATTGTCTAATAAAGAAAAAAGTAATTAAAGTATAATAAAGAAATTATATAGAAAAAGAAATTTTTTAAAAGCGACATGGATATGAATGAAAGATACTATTTAATAGTTTATATCGAGCAATCTCTGATTTTTTCGCATTTCCCAATAAGTAACAAAATTAAGGTAAATAGCTTGAAGTTTTTATTTAATTAATTTTTTAAGAGACGATAATAGCATCTTTCTTATTTGAAAGAAAAATAGTTATAGAACTTCTCACCGGTTTATTTTTATATAATAGCTACGACCTACTTTAACGGTGTTTCTTTTAATGTTGAGTTAACTGCGAAGGCACAATTCTGTCTCTCTCTCTCTCTCTCTCTCTCTCTCTCACACACACACACACACACACATACACACACACACACACACACACACACACACGAATGTCGCATTTATTCTCATTTTACTTTTCCTGTTCTGCCACCAGTTTCTACGAAGGCACTGGCTGGGGCGAAGAGTCTCGGTGGGTTTTTGTACAGCGCCGTGAACAAGGCCGGGAAGACCGTGGTGGAGGCCAGCGTGAAAATCAAGAAGACCGTCGAAGAGAACGTGAGTTTTTTTCCATTGTCACTATAATCTTGTAAACGCACCGATCGATTCGGCTTTAATTTTAAAACCCTTGTTACCACTATCATTCAGACGATTTTAATCGGATAATGAGATATCCTTGAGATTTATTCGAGATACAATTTAGTATCAATCACTTTTAATAGTGATACATTAATTATGAATAATTTACTATAAACTTTATTCAAAGATAATATAACGTAAATGCAACAATTATGCCTATTATTATTAACCTATTATTTATGTTAAACCTACATTCATTTGTAACGATTGTAAATTAATGTGTTAGTCATATATCAACTTCTGGGAATTAATCGATAAGTGTTTTGCTGTAGTTTTTACTTCGAACTACTTCTTTTTTTACTATAACTGTAGAGCTATTTATGCGCGCTCGTTTCGTACCGTTACGTGCACAAGCAAATTGATAACAGTTTTAATATTCTTGCCGCGTATTATTCGATGTTTTCGTGCATCGAAGCATGTGAAATTTTTACATTGTACATTTGCTGCTCGTGCCATCATCCTACGTGAGGATGGATAAATTTGAAGGATAGCAAGGAATACTAGATAGAAAAGCAAACTTATTTTGTGAATGTTTTCCCGTGGATGTAAAAAAAACGTATTTGCGCAAATATTTTCTTTTTGCTTTTCTGCCCTTCGGAAAAATTCGTGAACCCAGTGGTAGTTTTTTTTCTTCTTTTATCGGCATTGCGTTTTGTCGTTGTCGATATCGGCTCGTAGGATTTATTCTTTCGTAATGGTACGGACTGATACATGTATGAGTATGTATTCAATCCGTGAATACATACTCATGATGACCCATGAGAATTCAGTAAACACGTAAACGACAGCACTTCCGCATACGTGTTGTATAATCGCGTTTATATTTCGGAAATTAAAGCAACTTTCCCAAGTGCTTACAGTCAACTGACTTGTCTTGTCATGAACTTAAACTTGCAATATCGGGAATTTAATGCTCAGTATATAGGTGAGTCAATAAGTAACTTTAATTTTGCCCTTAGAAATCAAGACATCAAGGTTACTTATTGACTCACCCAAGTATATATATATATATATATACACACGATAAATTCAATAAAGTTCAAGTTGACATCTTGGAATAATAATTCTCATTGAATTGACTCTAGAGGGAAAACAATGCGTGCAATACGACATATCGCTACTTCTATAATCGCTTTAAAAATCAACATGTCAAGTTCTTATTTATTATTTTATCTATACTTAAATAGCTGTCGCCGATCGTGGAAACTCATATCGATCAGAAAGCCTGCTGTCGTTGTATTTGTGCATACATTTTGTATATATGTGTCAAGCAAGAAATGTTGATATTGATGAACTCTCATGTACAATAAATCATTGAAAATGCGCGAATGGGTGAAATTTATTCCGCGCCCGTTCTTTTTCGAAATTGTGCAGACCGCTAACATGAACCGACAATGCATCCAGCCAAAGAAACCACTTTTGCGTTTATACTCTGGTTACTGTGAATGGCTATTGGGAGTTTTTTGCTCATTCGCCTCTTGTATTTTTTTTTCGGACATTGGACGATACAAGTTCGCGATAGTCTAAAATGGCGTGCGAAATATAGATCTTTAAAGCGCACCGCTATGCGATTCGCACTGCGATTTTCACACGATGGATTTATCTATCACGGTCTACATTGCTTCGGAAAAATCAATGGATTCGCGCTGTCAAATGGTTTCTCTTTATAAAATTAATAATTCACACCTGACATTTATAGTGATTTCTACACAGAGAGAATAACTGAATTACTAATAATTACAAATTAATAGTAATTGATTATAAAATAATAATAGTTTGTATAATTTGGTCGATATATATAGGGAGATCTGTTATAATTATTGTATTTATCTTAACCTGTAATACCTATATTTTGGAAATTAATGAAAGATCAAAACTTTTTGTTTGATGAAAATAGCAATGATTTCCAAATTATATATGCGACTAAAGTGGACTGATCACATAGTTTACTAAATCAAGTTTATTTTTTACCTTTCTATTATTTTTTGTTTGTAGTTCAGATGTAAAAGTCAATATATTTGAGCTGAAAGTTATTAAAAATGATAAATTGATATGTAGTACAGATATAATTATGAGTGAATAATATGAGTGAATAATATCTATGCGATATTGGCCCACTTGATTGTTTATCTCGAAATTTATTGCGAATTTAACATTTCCGAATTGCGAATTTTCAACTTCGATTAATCTTCAGAAAAATATATTCCACTCTTTAGTGGCCTTCGTCAAGTTAATATTTTTTATATTTATATGTTTGATAAATAAACAATTTTAATAAATAATATGACGATAAAAGGGACGAGAACTATCGAATAGAGTCGCAGTTTTCTCGGCTTCCTGTCGGGTACGTTTTCTAACGGCAGTGATTTACCATTGTTGTAACCACTTGCACGTTCTCTGGTACTCACATGCATGTGACGTGTAATTTCTCAAGAGACCACGGTGCACCACGCGTACGCAGCATCCACTTGTCCTGCGATGGTCTTCGATTATGGTTTGCACACCAGGGATACCCAATGTCGTTTGATCAGTTTGATGCTTGTCGATGTGTCGTTAATATAACGAAGCTACAACAATTCACGTAAATGAAATGAAACAGACTTTTTAAAAGTACAAAATTTAAAAATAGGATTGTACATCATCATGACGTTTATTTTTTTTCAAGTCTTTTTCTCTTTCTTTATATTATTTTTAAATATAACGTTTTAATTATTTATCAAAATAATGGAATTAATTTAATTATAACGTTTGTAGTTATTGCGAACAGTAACACCATAATGGCAATAGTACCGTCAGTAGTTTTAATGATGTATCACATTAAGCTTACAATTTTGACCCTTAAACTTTGGCTTTAATTTCAACTATATAAATTTAAATTACACACAGGTACATGAAGAGAGCATAAATTTCTGCGTATAATAAATTCACTCGACGCTGTTACCAGGTACCGTCGAGCATGTATTATCGTTGTAACCAACGTTACAGGTTGGATGTCCTTTGAATAGATACTATCACGTGACAAGCATCGGCAAACAAAACGACACGAGACCTCATCGAATGTACAAGCATCGCGTCTGTGTTCGATAATACGGAATTACAGGAACGCTGTAATGTATATCAAAATCGCACGCGTGCTTTTTACGTTTGTGTGTCGTTGATTACGATCAATAACATTAACAGGAAATTTCGTTTTATCATACACGTTATTATCATTCGATCGATTCGTTTTACAGATATTATTTGGCTGAGTTATATTAAATTGGTAATAGTTTATTTATATAAAATTATTTTGTTTATTTAAAATCAAGTTCGAAGTTACTTTATTAAAGTAAACTTATGTAATAATGCATCCATTTGCGTTTGCGTTCGTTTTATTTCAGTTACGTCTAGAAATTTATCTTTTAGATTAAACCGAATCGCGTATCTTGCAGATTTTCTCTATAGATGTATAGTCCCAAGTCGATACTGTTATTAATATCTTCCGGAAAAGGCGGTGGTACTCGTCGACCCATTTTCTGTTACACGTTAAAGCGGGACGATTCTATTGCTCCTTTTATTTTCATAGATGCTCCATTGCGTTTTATAAAATCGCGAATGCATTGAATTTGTTACTCTTTATAGATTTACAAAGCTGACAATGACAATGATGTTTCAAAACATATGTCGCTGAAGATACGATCACGCCGATACGTGACAAGATTCTATGCTTTCGTTCATTATCTCATCGCGTATTTCATTATTGAATTATGTAGACACCGAAGCGAGCGATGGTATAGGGTTGCTGTTGTTATAACGATGCGTTGTAATTTTATCCCGTAGCTGAATACGAAGCAATTTATCCATAACTTTACGTTATCAACTTAGTTTCAAATTGAACAGGTTTCAAGTCAAACAGGTTTATTTAATCAGCAATTTATATTATGTTCACGATTCAAGTGTTCTATGTTTATTTCTTGTTCTTCGATTTCGCTTTATCGTTATTGCGGAACAAAAATCTTTCACACACAGACACAGACACACACACACACACACACACACACACACACACACACATTATTCGTTTTATTATTTTCTTATTTCACATCATTCTTTATTTAATTCTTTTCACGTTATGTCTAATACGAGATGCTTTCTTATTATATACGGAATTTTTGTTGAAAATCTGGAAAGATCTATTAAATTTTGTAGGTTCTACCGCAGTTATAACTGATGATATTTTATTATAAAAATTCTATTTTTCGACCGCGATCGTAAAAATGAAAAGTTAAGGGTATTGGTGTTCACGTGATATCTACTTTGTACTACGATCTCGCATCACCGCGGGCGTTATCTCGTACCAAATAAACGATGAAATATTTCATCATTCACTTTATCGTTCGCAGACATTGTCTGTTCACATCTTTATTTTTACTGGCAGGGATCTTGAAAAGAGATTTATGCATATCGCGTACATACATTATCGATCACTATTATTTCCTGACAACCACTTCTGCTTTCTATCGTGATCAGTATCGTCAGAGTAGTGTTTCTTTGTGAAATAGCTTGACACCATTTTTAGATTATATATAATTTTGATACGTATCAGGTATTTGATAAGATACAGGTCAAATTAATGAACATAGTACCATATTTTTGTAGTATATTTTTTGTATTGATATAAAGAGCTTTTATCAAACATTATTTAATCCTTAACAATACAAAGTACAATTTGGTGCTTTTCTCGTCAAAACACACACACACACACACACACACACACACACACACGGATCACTAAAATCCATTCTTTTCACCTTCAGAATGATTAAAAAAATTTCTAAAAATTTATCAACATACTTTCAATTTTTTAAAATAAATATTGAAACTTCATTTTGGAAAAAAATAAAAGGTATAATTTTATAATTACTGAAAGACTCAAAGAA